AAAAGGCAAATCAGTTAGCCCATCGTGACGAAATCCCATTAGAATTAACCACGATAGTTTCCAGGGGGAACCGCGTGGAGGTCGACCTGATAGGGTATATTGCTAGCAATGGGACTGGTAGTCCGCATTACTAACAATCCCTTTCCTCCCAGAGGAGGAGTGTCAACCGACTACAGGAACCCCTGTAGTTGACGCAAAAAACCTCATTGTATATGTATAGGAATTAAACCTTGTACAGTTTTTTTTAAATTTTGTTTTTACATATCACATAGATAAATATGTTTTAAAAATAATAGCAGAATTTGCTTTGTATAAACTGCCAATTTAAATATAGTTATTTTTTTTTAAATAACTTTATTGACCAAAATAAAATATGGTACAAAAGGCGGATTTTATGCCAGTACCATTCCCTACCAGTCCTACCTTTGGTGAGTAATACTAGTGAATCTCGAACGCGGTACTTCATTATAGGGATAATATATAGTATGTATAAAATATATATTATATGTATAATAAAGAATAGAAGAGGCAAAATGCTGGGCCACCTTAGAAGGAAAGATAGAGGGCAAAAGAGGAAGAGGAAGACCGAGTAATAACTACATGGGACAGATAAAGGAAATACTGGGCGTCATGTCGTATAGGGAGATAAAGGATATGGCCTGGGATAGAGCTGGCTGGAGGAAGATGCATGAATTAGTTGCACCGACAAGAGGAAACTTTTAAATGAAAAGAAGATATAATATATATAGTAGAGTACTTCAATATAGTAGATCCTTAATGTTATACTCTTAGCGTGAGAAGCCTATTAAACTCGTCGACTTATACAAAGGAAGTAATCTGCACTTTTTAACCTCCAAGGTGTCTCAAGAAGTAAAAAAATCTTGCTCTTTTTTTTATTAATTTTAATGACTTTTCCTTGTACACCTCAGAATGACGAATTAAGATGACGAAGCAGCTGATGGAACGTAGCAATCATAACTGTGATTGTGGAAAAATAAAAGCGTACATCACTTAAAAATATATATTTGAACAAAAAAAAATGTTAAAAACATATATCAAACATAAAATAAAAATCTGCAAAAAATTATTTAACTAAGTTATCAATTACTATTACATTTTGACGTGTAAAATAACAAAAAAAAAGTCTACAAAATTGCAGAATACATTAATGATGTATATGGTACCTTCATTCGTTGCCATTTTGCTATAGTGGAATAGATTTTTCAAAAATAACATAATTTATTTTATACGTTGAATATGCAGTTTTCTATATATATATATATATATATATATATATATATATATATATATATATATATATATATATATATATATATATATATATATAAGAGGAAAAATGTCGATAGACTCAAAAACTACTCAATATAAATATATATATATAGTATAGGCAAAGTTATAAATTCATTATCATCCATTAAAAAAAAAGGAATACTATTCTACCTTAATAATCATGAATAATGATGATATCCTTAAAAATTCCTAGTCTCAGAAGCTTTTCTTCCTTATGAATTTTAATGATTTGGATTAAAAGAGACCTAGGCCTCTTAAAATGCTTAAGACCCTTGAATAGTGAGTCCCAGACACGGTTTTATACTTGAATTCTTTATTTTGTACCCAATCATAATTTCTTGAAAGCTTCTCTAGATGAGTTGTATACTTTAAATTAAATTCAAATTTTTTAGTATTCACTGAAAAAGTTACTTGATTAAACTGTAATGGAAAAACTATTTTTTTTTTGACGAAAAAGTTATGAATTAATTTATTTGATCAAATAAGGTTACAGAGTAAATTTTCTTGTGATGTTTCCTTTTTGTTATATATGTATAGTTTGTATTTTTATTTATCACTTATTATCAATTCTTATATCATTTTCATCAACATTATGTCAGCCGTTAACTGTCCACTGCTGAACATAGGTATTTCCCATAGTCTGCCTATAAGGAATACTCTGGACTCACCTGCATTCATTAACTCTCTGCAATGCATTGGAAGTCGTCGCTCCATCTAGTGGGGAGTCGTCCAAAACTAACACGAAAGTAAACAGTATCAATAATAAAAGAAGCCATCAAAATCGGTTGAAAAACAGACACAAAAATAAAAACAATAAAGAGATAGAAAAGGAGAATTACGTCCTTTATTAGTCACTGATGGTGTCCCCAGAATGACGTTAGACTCTCTCAAACTTGTGAGTTCCTATAAATGTTTTTACACTTTGGTTCTTTACATTCCCCTGATGTAAAGTTTGATGATAATGGACCATAGAAATGTAACATATGTGTCGTTCTTCAATAAAGTCTTAAGCCAATTACAAGTTTTGCAGTTCCATGGAATTGGCCTTTTAAAATCGCACCATACTGCAATACCCGAGGGTGATCAAACTTTTTTTATATGCGTCACTTATGTTTGCAACTTTTGAGTTCTTTTTTATTTTAAAACTAAAAGATTCTCTCGGCTTTACGCGCGTGGATCAATATATATTAAAATTGTATGTGTTATGTTAGGATTTAATCTATCCATGTACCAAATTTCATTGATTTTAAATTTCATCCGTTCAGTAATTTTTTCGTGAAAGAGTAAAAAAAAAAAACCATCTATCTATCATTGTTACAAACTTTCGTATTTATAATATTAATAGGATTACATAGATTTTTAATTGCAATTATATATATATATATATATATATATATATATATATATATATATATATATATATATATATATATATATATATATATATATATATATATATATATATATATATATATATATATATATATATATATATATATATATATATATATATATATATATATATATATATATATATATAACGTTAGGACTACTAACGTTTATTAAGAAAGTACTTACACCATTTCTACAAATGGTCGCTCAAATCATAAATGTTACCAACTTATACCCCGTATTTTTTTGCCCTTATATTATTTAATTTGTTCAGATAGCCTTGCTTTGGCAAAATAAACGTGTTCGGACCGTCGCGATAAGATAGTGGTCAGACTAGTTTTTTATCTTCAAACGAGACAAGTTTGGGATTAATACAGTCTTATCTGTTGAATCATATAAATGTATCAAGACACGCTAGAAATTTCCCCTCGACTTTCAACTATTAGTTTAGGTCAAACATGGCGATATGGAATTTGTGTCTGTATATGTCTGAAGATTGGAGGATTAGAACTTTTCCGTTATTCGGATGTTTTAAGAGCTATTTATAAAACTACAGGTCTGGAACTTGTTAGGGTTCACAAGAGATTGGTGAAAGTAGTTTATATATAAATTTTATGAGAATTTGTTAATACAGTTGAAGTTGTTATACAGGATATATGGTAAAAAAAACTAGCCTATATTGTTGTCTATGGATTATATAATGGTATTTTCATTATTATTATTTGTTTTTTATCCTTTTTCTTAGCATCAACTAGCATATATTATTTATGCAAGCGTATACTGTAGTTACTTATAGCGTATATTTGTGTGTGCGCGTGCGTGTGTACTCGCGTGCATGTGTGTGTGTGTGTGTGTGCGTGTGTGTGCGAGCGCGTGTGCGTGTGTGCGTGCATGCTTGCGTGCGTGCGTGCGTGCGTGTGTGTGTGATGTATGTGTGTGTATGTATAACTATTATTTTTAACTGTAATAAAATTCACATTATTATTATTATTCACATTCATTCTAAACATAGACTTCTCCCATATGGAAAGTTTTGTTAGTAGTTGCCACGCTTGGCAACCAGGCTTTAGTGATGTTTGAAAAGGTTCGCTGCTGCCCATCCCTCGACCAATAAGTTCTCTTAGTTGCCTCTTACGACACCCACGAAAAGGAAGGGGTGAACCGTTCTATGCCGGAATTACACGACAATCTGGAACTTGTTAGAGTTCGTCAGAAATAGTATAGAATAGCTTATGTATAAATTTTGTAAGAACTTAATCGTGTAATTGAAAATTTAATATTTTTTTTTACATTGAATGTGATTTTGACTCTATGACCAAGATATATAATATAGTGTAAGCGCGGTATAAAGACTAGTCTATGTCTTTCTCTATGGATTATAATTTTTGGTATACACCTAGTATTTAGTGTGTTGAAAATTACATTGTGTTAGAAACATCGTTCTACCAGCCTTTAATCACGACTTTATCGCGTGATCAGGAAAAAAGGTAGCCTTTGCCCCTCTCCATGCTATGTAGTATAAATTACCATATTGAAATATCAAATTTCAATAAAAATGGTTAAGTCATTAAAGCTGGAAGACGTAACATACAAACTAATCTTAAAATTAATAATATTAGTAAGGATTCTGTCTATATATTGAATAACATGACTTACGGATGAACGTACAAACATACGAAATTGCAGCATAAATCAATCTGCCACTTTGATATGGAACCCCTCAATATAATATTACATCTTAATATTATCTATGGATTTAATTTAAATGTAGATACTTAATGAATTTGAGAGCAAAATAATTAGAAATTCGTTGCCCTGTTATTAAAGATTATAATTCTGCCAGTCTTATTAAGTATATATAACGTTATTAAAATTATAAGAAAACGTTAATTTTATAAACATTTTAAGGTGGTGGTGAGGAGGGGGGGGATTCTTAGTAATGCGACTCATGACCTTGTTGCTAGCAATATACTTTGCCTTGGCTATTGGTATTGCGCAAGCGTGGAATAGTAATTCCATATCATATCATTAAAAAAAAAGCACTTTGGGGTAACCTAATTATTTCGCTAAATATAGATAATCTAGATCTTTTTAAAATACTACCAAGAAAATGAGGTTCACAATATATCTGAATCTTTTTCCATCTAATGTAGTATAATACGTGTACACCAAAATATAATAATTACATAAAAATCTTTCATAATTAACACAAATTATTCTAATATAATATAATATATTATACATGTGTATAAATATGTACAAATATGTACTTTATTAATTTCTTATATTGTTTACAGCAACAAAAACGGCTGGACAGATGAACTCTATGGCTCCGAATTCAAGGGGCTGACAAAATGACTCCGGCTGGCCTTATGGTCTTCTGTTCACTTCTCACGAGGACGCTATGTGTCATAGCGCCCCAGTTACCAGGTCAGTAGTTGTTGCAAAAAATTGTTGCAATTCTTCTATGTGATAATCAGTAAAAAAAAATACAGGAAGATAACTCTCGTATATTCTTGTAACGATTACATTCTGAACGAAGTATGTATTGTATTATCTCTCTCTCTCTCTCTCTAAGTGCGTGTGTATGCGCTTGTGTATGTGCATGTGTGCGTGTATATGTGTGTGTGTATGATCTGTACGTTTTATGTATTTGTAATGTGAGCATGTGTAATATGTCCATAAAGTCATGCATCCTACTAATATTATAAATATAATAGTTTATAAAAATATTTGGACATTTGTTATTCAATCACGTTTAAACGGTTGAAGGGATTTGAATGAATTTTGGTTCACAAGTAGGTAATACATAGAATACTTAATTACATAAGCAAATACGTTGGAAATAGCTAGTAAAAATAACAAACACATCAAACAGAGAATCCATTCATGTTTCGTTATTTCTTTGGTTTAATATTATTAATTTCTTTACAGATTTCAAGATAGGTGACAAGAAAGTAATCACCGGTCCGTTCTGGCACGAGGTGTTCACGGAAACGTACGAGGATCAAGATGAGGATATATCCACAACAACCTTGGAGCCGCTGCCTTTCTTTGAAGACGATATTTCAACAAACAACGTGACAGCACAACTAGGTAGCAGAGTGCATCTACATTGTAGAGTACATGATCTGGGAGAGAAAACGGTAAGTTTTTTTAATAGAATAGTAACCTCATATTTGATATCGGTAAATGTTAACGGCCGTGTGGCCGTGTGGTCCCGGAATGGCTGTATGGCTTTGGCATATAATAGGGCATCCCTTCCTTTCCCGTGGGTGTCATAAGAGCCGACTAAGGGAGGGCGAGGGATAGGCGGCAGCGTCCGTCTTAAAACATCACTAAAGCCTGACTGCGTTTGCTAATCCGTCTGTCAAGCGTGGCAACTACTGGCTAAACCTTCCAAGGGGGAGGCCTATGTTTAGCAGTGGACAGGTAAAGGCTGATATGATGAAATGTTGATGGGTCATTGATGGGTGAGAATGAAAAGAAATCAGTTAGTAAATATTTTAATGAACTTAGTGTTATTTTGTGGAAGTCAATATCACTGCTTAGTTGATTAGAATTATTTTGTTTAATTCTGCTATTGAACTTAGTGTTATTTTGCGGAAGTCAATATCACTGCTTAGTTGATTAGAATTATTTTGTTTAATTCCGCTATTGAACTTAGTGTTATTTTGCGGAAGTCAATATCACTGCTTAGTTGATTAGAATTATTTTGTTTAATTCCGCTATTGAACTTAGTGTTATTTTGCGGAAGTCAATATCACTGCTTAGTTGATTAGAATTATTTTGTTTAATTCCGCTAGCATTAGTACTCGTATGCGTGCGACTGTTAACAATTAAAAATTGATTGAATAAAATTATTAGTAGAAGTTTTACGACTTTTTATACAAGTCATCAATCTCCGAATATTATTCAGTCCATGCACAAGTTGCTACACGTGTTTTACCTTTAAACGAGGCATCTTCAGGCAAATTGGAGCTTAGTGACTGTTCGCCGTTTGGGTACTGAACGGTTAATACTAGGCTTTGGTATATAACCTACTGATGTATATTTTAGCGGTGGGTAATATGTAACAATATACCAGGTAATATGTAGCAATATAAGGAGACTTTGTACAAAAGTCGATTGCTTGGGTATCTCTGTCCCATTCGGGTTTCTACCGTGAAGCAGTTGTGTTTGCACGGCTATGTTTCAGTTTGAAGGATGGGATATGGCGTGAATTTACAGGGTACAGAGGAATAACACCTGAGTCCTCAGGAATGGCAACGCATGGGGGGTATCATGGGCGAAACAGTATACTCTGTTATGTCCATGGTACTGTTATGTCTATAGGCGACGGTTACCACTTTCCATCAGATGGGCCGTTAGCTTGTTTGTCATTCTAAGTTGTATAAAAAGAAATCCATATATTTTAGTTACAATATCTATATCCTGGTCCAATAACGAATATGTTAAAAGTCCATTATCTAAAAAGTAATATTGGATAACAGATTTTTAATATATTTATTTATTTATTTTTATGTTACATCTAGAATCAACAGCTTATATCTAGAATAATTAAAAATATTATATATACACCATACATGAGCTAATTACAGATTCCCAATTTGTATACCAGATAATATTATGCTTATTTTTTGAGGGTAGGTTAAATTAAATAGAAAAAATGTGTGTGTATTTATATGTGTAGTGTTACCTGAATGTCATATGGTGTAAAAAAGTGTATTGTGTGCATATTGTTTTGTATAAAGGAAGGGTTACATGCAACTAATTTCATATTTATAGATAGATACACGTAATGATATTTTTTCTGCCATCAATGTCCAGAGAAACCCAGAGCTATATATCTTGATAGAGCCAAAGAAACGATCTGTATGTGCTATATAATCAAGGAATTGTCCTTTAACTTCTAGTCATTAAAGAGTTGAAGCTTTCATCATCAGCTCATTTGAGTACCTTAAAGGAGTACAACAACTGACTTTACGTGCCAATAGTATTCAAAGAATTACTCTGACTGCTCACCATCGAGGAGTTGTGTCTTCCATCATCAACTCAGTAACATGAGATGATGACTTCCAGATGGAAATATCGAATAAGTTTAGAAAAAAATATTAAATACCATATACTTGCCTATAGAATTTGAGGGTCACCCTCGATTTCCTTAGTATCTCATCATAAGACCCTAACTTGATGACAATGGAACGACCTTAGGACCTTTTTTTATATAGATTTATTTTTAGGTATTATTTTCAATACAATTTTATTGTATTTATAAATTCGATAATCTGTAAGTTATTAAATTTCTTAAGAAGTTTGTTTAAAGACTTCTTGTGGTAATTGGAGATGATTTAAATAATTATAAAATAAAAAAAAAATATAATTGATTATGTAAATATTTTTAAATAAAATAAGTATGATATGTTTATTTACATTTTAAAATACCTTGTGATTTTAATACCATATCTCACCCTTTAAATTGAAACATAGTCACATAATTTAGGGGCTGAAACATTAATTAAACGTAGGTACTAAAGCATACGACTTTTGATATATATTCATTTATTTCTTATACTTTTTATAGATAGATACTCTTTATTGTTTCCTCTATAAGATAACAATAGTAAATTTATTATAAATACAAACAATTACAAGAATATATTACAATGAGAAAACAATGGGCGGCCTTATCGCTAAGAGCGATCTCTTCCAGGCAACCTTTGGATGGAGAAGAGTAATTATAAAAATTTTACTGGAGGCACAAAACTGATTGCAGGTGTTCATAGGCTACGGTAACCATTTACCTACAGGTGGGCCGTATGCTTGTTTGCCACCTCAGTAGTATAAAAAAAAACTGTTCATTTTTTAAATACATATAGAGATGTGCATTATTATTATTATTTATTTCTTGATAAAATTTCATCATCTGTAAAGATTTTCCTCGTAAATACATTTTGATGTTTCGCCTAAACATATTTACACGTCGTTCGTTTATTTTATAGACAAGTTTTACTACAAGGGTGTTGAGGTCGCACGCCAAATACTTTATGAAGACCTTCGTCAAATCATTAAGGGCGCGTTGAGGCATCCCAACATGCCGTCTTAATATATTTATATACACGTACATACAGAACTTAGAAATTGCTTGCAGTGAAAACTAATAGCAAAAGTATATGATTTTGCATCGGAAAAAACAACTATTTTATTCATAATAAAATACTTTTTTTTTTTATAACATAGGGGGCAAACGAGCATGAGGCTCACCTGGTGGTAAGTGACTACCGCCGCCCATGATCACCCACAACACTAATGGCATTGCAGGTGTGCTGCCAGCCTTTTAAAAAGGAACATGCTCATTTCTTGAAGGTTATGTTGTCGTATTGGTTCGGAAATACTGCTATACTTAAATGTATGATGAGATGTTTCGTAGATTGATTGAAAATATTTGTAACTAGCTTTTTGCTTACGTACGCGCAGTTCTCAATCGTCAGAGAATCGATGAAATAGATTACTCCTATATGCCGTATTAAATTAAAAAATACACTACTTTTAAAATTGGATCTTTAGGAACAAAACAGTTAAAAGTTAAAAGTGATGTCGAAATAAAAATACAGACAGATAGACAACATTTTCAAAAATTTTGGCATCTATTAGTAAGACCAATACGTGCTCCTTGTATTAGCTTATTTTTTAAATATCAAACATCCTACATATATTATCTAGTTTCAATTTTATTATATTAGTAAGATTAATAAACTGTAATTTTCTTAGATTATACACATAGAGCATCGAGCCTGAAAAACGAGTAAATATTTGTCAGCTAATTATTAAATTAGCTGACTCGTTTTTTTTATTAGTGTTCTACTTACGCAACGTACTTTGACGTATCTGTATATAATTCTTTATTAAATAAAATAAAGTTTTTGCTCATTAAAAAGGTGCAAAATATATAAGACAAAATAAATATAGAATTTATAAAGGAATCACTCATAATAAGGTTGTCTGTAAGAGATTGCCCTAGCGATAAGACCGCCTTTTGTACCTTTATGTGTATATTTCAATCTGTATTATTTATGTTAGTGTATTTCACTTGAATTATTCACTTGTCATTGTATATTTTTATTTATGGTGCAATAAAGAGTTAAATAAATAAATAAATAAACTATTTTATGCGCAAAATTGTATGAAAAAGTTGATCCGCTTTTCTAGAAGCATTTGTATGGAGACACCTTCCATTTATATAATCTAAGCTGTAATTATTTGCCTATAAATATATTTTAATTTGCAATAAGCAAATTTTGGAAGTTCTCGGCCTTGTAAGTTGCTTGTCATGAGACAAAATTTAATTTTGGACACAGGCATTAGCTAATATTTTTACAAAATATATTATTGTTTTTTATTTTTGTGATTACATTACAATTCTTTAAAAATATGGATACCGAGATTACTATCTATTACCAGAGATGGACTTTGTACTTGTGCACTTTTGTCCCATTCTTTTTTTGCCATGAAGCAGTTGTGTTTGCATGACTGTATTTCACTTTGAAGGGTGGGATTATGACAGTGAAATTATTGGGTATAGTGGCATATCACCTTAGTCCCCAGGGATGGCATCAGGGGCGCATGAGGGGTATTATAGATGACACCGTATATTCTGTTTTGCCCACTGTACTGTTCATGTCTATTGCCGACAGTTAGCACTTTCCATCAGGTGGGCCGTGAACTGGTTGTCGCGCCACTTGAAATGGTTCTGTGCTAACCTCATCTACTATTTTCCCGTCATCCGTACTATGTTATCTAACCATGGTGTTGGTGATTTACTGATAGGAGATTGTTCAATATATTAATCAATAATAGTTTTCTGTTTGTTAATTTATTTTACGCTAACTGTGGTCCCCAATCTAACTGCCAATCAATCTGTTTCTGCCAATCTAAAAACTATTGGCAGAAACACCAAAATAGAAGGCCTATGTTCAGCAGTGGATAGTTAACAGCTGATATGATGATGATGGGAAGGATAAGCAAGCTGAAATGGTAATGAGCTGGTCATATAGTTCGAAGAACCGACAACCGATGGAGAAGAAGGTTCTTGAGTGGCAACCGCATATGGCCAAACGCAGTGTAGGACGACTCCCACTACATGGAATAACGACCTGAAATGCATTGCAGGGAGTCAGTGGACGCAGGTGGTTCAGGACCGTTCTTTATGGGAGTCTATAGAGGAGGCTTATGTCCAGCAATGGACGGTTAATGGCTGAAATTATAATGACAATGATTAGTTACTTCACTATCAAAGTCGCGTTTCCATATTTTCGGAGTAAAACCAAACTATTGACTATTTATGCCCGCAATATTTTTTACTAACTTCAATGTTGTGGTTTAAAATACTTCCATGATAAAGACGAACCTAACGATACCTTACTTTATAAAATTATACATACACTAGAAAATTATTACCTTCTTTTTGGTAGCCGGAATTTACTTACTAAAATAAAATGTTTTTCCCCGACCACATAACTGTTTATTGCGGCGTGGTCAAATCCAATAAACCCATTAATTCTAATAGCCCTTTGGATCCTTTCAACGTTATGTAAATTCAATACTCCAGTCCCGAGGCGACCGAGCGGCCGAACCCGCGCACTCTTTATTGCACTAAAGCTCTCTTCTTACAGGCTGTGCGACGCGATAATTTGAAGCGGTATTATTTTTGCCCGATTGCCCTGGGTAGGGGCCTGTTCGACGTGTGTGTGCCCTAATGAATAATTTTTTTTATTCATAAAAATAAAATGGAAATAGAGTGGGGTACTTTCGCTATTAGTTTACGCTGGTAGGGTATCAATGAGAGTTTTTTTTAATGGGTGAATATGGAATGGTAACCCCGCCTGCACTATCGATATACGCTAGCAGGGTACCAGTGAGAGATAATAGGTAAGTTTGAAAGATGGTTAGTGAATTCAGCACCTATAGTGATGAATTCCAAAAGAATTCAAAAAGAAAGAACGATGGTTTCCAGGGGAAATAATTCCAGGGAATTCCAGGCGTGGAGGTCGACTTTATAGGTTTTATTGCTAGTGATAGGGCTTTGAGATCTTATTACTAATAATACCTTTCCCCCCACCAATGATCGATAGGTGAAGACAAAATGCTATCTGTTGAATTTTATTATATTAAAGTTAGGTATTTCAATCGGGACAAAATTTTGTGGATATTGTTAGTAACCGGGACTAACGTCCCCATTACTAGCTAGTCAACCTTCATGTAGTTCCCTTGGTTATCATAATGGTGATAACTTTTAATGAATCCGTCAAACTTGAGTTCATCTTTTTGTCTATTAGAAAAAAAAACTGCGCACTTTTTAGTGCATTATTTATTTTTTAATTTTTTTGCCCATATGCCCTAGATAGGAGCATGTTCTTCCAGTGTATGCCCTAATAAATTATATTTTAAACAGTTACATTAATTATGGTAAAGCTTTACAGGAATTGTTAGTAAAGACGTTTCCCTTACTAGGAATATAGATTCAGGGCGGCATCCACACGTTTTTTATAGAAACCATCATGGTTATTTCTGGTCGATTCGTAACCATGTGCTAACTGACATGATTTCTTCCTCATTAGTATCCAAATACTGTAACCCAGTAATACAAATAAGATTACTATTCCATTATCATTCATTAAAATAAATTAAATATTTATATACTACTCCTCTTTCCAGATCTCTTGGGTCCGGCGTCGTGGTGAAGATTTGCATCTCCTGTCCTTCGGCACTCATACATACTCAGCTGATTCGAGATACTCACTAGCCTTCGAGCATCCGAATGATTGGCGCCTGCTCATACAGTACGTGAATGAAAGAGACGAAGGATTCTACGAGTGTCAGATATCGACGCATCCGCCTTTGGTCAGGCGGGTGCATCTTACTGTTGTTGGTAAGTACTAACTGTTTATTTTTTTATGATACTTAGAATGGTAGACAAGCTTGTAGCCTATACGATAGTAAGTGGTAACCGTCACCTATAGACATGAATAGTACCATGGACATCATAGTATAGACTGTGATGCTTATGATACTCTTCGTGAGGACTATTGGGTTATGTTCCCGTATGTTAGTTAAGTTATGAAATTACAGAGTAATTTCATTGTAGAGTCTCATCCTGCAAACAAATGAAGTACCGCATAGACGCATGTTTAAGACTTGTTCTACGAAAGATCAAAATATGAGTCAGCAAATGAAAATCCCCGATTATCCTGGTAAATGTGGAATTTTTCATAACTTTATGAAAATGCCGTTCGTAACACAATATTTGGAGTTCCGCTGAAGTATACGATAACTGGATCATAAATAATGATAATTTATTGCACAGTAAAAATATCATAAATTGTCTTTTGTTTAACAATAGCTTTGTTCATGATAAAATACTAAACGTTCCAAATTTAAATTTCCCGCCAAATTTTTACGAAGTCTAGTTTTAAACAAAGACTAGTTATTCTTCTTTTTCGGTTTGACAATAGACAAAGTCGGTTTTTTTGATGTTTCTTCCCCACTTTGCCCTATCTTGGGTAGCACTATCATACCCTCACATTTCAAATCGAAATACATTCATCCAAGTACAGCTATTTAATATCAGAAATAGGGATATGATATAGGTACCCAAACCAGCGTTGCTGAATTGGGTATGTTTTTCGTAATTTTGGTAATTTTGGGCAAAATTTTACAGAAATAAAATACGTGAAGAATTGTTTGGAGAAAAGTGATTCACTTTTCATTCATTTGGGTTTGAAGATATTTGTAAATTTTTTTTTTGACAAAATTTAATTTCTCTTTTTACTTTAGTATTTATAAACTATCTAGCGGTATATAAATATAACAAAACATATCAATCAAAGGTAAGTTTTTTTTGTCATTCGCTTTATGGATACATAGTAAAATGTAGTAAAGATTGACATAAATTTGTAATTGGGAGAATATTAAGGAAATGGTATCGATTTGGAAAAAAAATTGCCATTTGGGTTAATCAATAATTTTATATAGTAACCCTGATTCAAGCAGACGACTTTTGTACAAAGGATATCTGATCTCTCTCTGGATATCCATCATCCCTCACTACTGCCCTGCCAATGTATACCAATAGCGCAGACCGGGTCTACCGGTATAAATATATAGCTATAAGCTATATATTTATAAAAGTAATATCTATTAAAATAAATGTATGAGTATATGTATGTATAATCTTTTATAATGTATAAAATATTCATACATCCCTCCGTATCTCTTTACGACCTGAATAAAAAGTCGTATCCTATCAAAAAGTTGCATATTTTACGCTGGTAATATTTTTTCGCCATGATTTTTTATGACATGGGCATTAATCTATAAAAAAAAAATATAAACAATATATGTATGGATATAAAGTCCTATATTGATGGTAAGTATTCAGACTCTATGTGGACTCTATCTTGTCCTATTAACTAACTAATATTTGTCTTTAATTTAAATATGTACCGGATTTTTAGATAAAATATATGCTTTTTGTGTGTAAATTTTTTTCTATTAATATGTATTTTTTTATAATTATATTCAAGATTCCAGAGTTTAGATACTTATAAATTACGTATTATATGTAGATCACACAACCTGTGGCTTTTGTCGATTTTTTAAGCGATGCTGTTGCCCATCCCTCCACCATAAGCTCTCTCGCCTCTTACAACACCCACGGGAAAAGAAGGGGTGGCTCATTTTATGCCGGAATCTACAGAGCTAATTAATACATTATTTTTTTTTATTTTTTTTCAAGGAAAATTACAGTCTATTAATGGTAAAATTTTGTAAAAAAAAATGTAGTTAAAGTTGTTGATATTCTATTAAAAAAACATATTCTATCCTTTGATTTAATATTACTAAAATAATGAAAAGAACTTTGTAGACAAAACAACAACTGGATAATATCAAGTAACTATAGAAGTGGATGACCTCGTGTGACCTTTGTATATAATAAAACATAGGTAGGTGTGCATACTGTGCGAAAATTACTAGACTTGAAATTTTATTGTAGGGTATTTTTTTTATTTTTGCGATATCTTTTTGTGATTTTGAGTTTGACGTATATTAATAAAAATTGCAAATATTTTTTACAACGATAATATTTTTTTTTAATGAGAGTAAATGAAATAGTGAGCCCTCCTTCGCTATCGATATATACTGGCGAGGTACCAGTGAGAAATGATAGGTGAGAATGAAATGGGTCAGTTAGCTCATCGTGACGGATTCAACAACAGTTAACCGCGATGGTTTTCGGGTCACCCCATCCGAGAAACTATCGCTGTTTCACACTCGTGGTGGTTAATCTGATAGGGTATATGGCTAGTAATGGGGTAGTTAGATGTCATTACTAATCTAATAAAAAATGCCTTTCCCCTGATAAATTGATGATCAGCGCCTTACTGTCCGCCTCGACCCACTGAAACTGCGTAGAGATGTTGCATCTCTGTACATCTTCTACCGAATTTATCATGGGAAGGAATTGTTTGGATTGATACTTGCTGCTGATTTTCATCATCGTACAACCCGTCATAAACTAAAGTTTCACTCTAATCATCTGGAGAGTGGCGGCCTGCTACTCTGTGTTATTCAAAGTACTTTTTTCCACGCACAACCACCCTTTGGAATCAACTTCCAGCAGCAGTATTTTCGAACCGATACGACAACATAACCTTCAAGAAAAGAACATATTCCTTTTTAAAAGTGCGGCAGCACACTTGCAATGGCTTTGGTGTTGTAGGTGATCATGGGCGGCGCTATTCACTTACCATCAGGTGAGCCGCATGTCGTTTGCCCACTGTGTTGTAAAATATATTATGAAACCTACTGTCTTTTTGATGGGTTGAAAATATGATGTTAACTGCATTAACGGTATACATTAGAGGAGTAGCAGTGATTAATGATAGTTAAACATAAAGTCAAGTTAGTTCTGGTAAAGTTCTGGTAAGCGCGTAAAGTTTGACCTGATAATTGCTAGCAATTAGGCCACAAGTACCCAGTTTTAATAATCGTTTTCCTCTACCTAAATATCATTTAGGGGAGGGGAAAGGGATTGTTAGTAATGGAGACTGAGAATGCCATTGCTAGCAATATACCCAATCAGGTCGACCTCCTCGCGGTTCCCCCTGAAAACTATCATGATTAATTTGTGATGAATTTATCATGATGGGCTAACTGGCCTGCTTTCATTCTCATCTATCACCCTTCACTGGTGCTCCGCCAGCATATCCCGTTAGCGCAGGCGGGGCTACCATACTATTTTCACTCATCAAAAAAAAAAACATTTAAAATGCCTCTACAGCGCTAACTGAAACCAGTTCTTAACCATACATAAATTAATGACTACAAACGTCAAGCTCATTTCAATCTAAGACTTTGATAATCCGCAAGGTACTACTGGGAGTTCGAAGCACGTGTTCCCGGGGACAAGATCAATGGGTCCAAATTCCTATTTAAGCCGATTCATTTGTATCCATAATACCATGGGACGGGAAGTTTTTTTTTGTTAAATTCGTTAGTGAGTTTTTTGTATGTTGATTACAAATCTGAGTGTGTAATTTTAAATTCAATTAATAAATTTTCATAGGGTTTTTATTTATCCAAAGAACAATTCTTGAGGAAGGTTCAAGCGTATAATACATTATAGTTTTGTCTAAATTTATTGAAATATGTTGATGATTGTTGAAAATGTAAGAAAAAATCATCCCCTTTGGGAAAAGCTCCCAAAAATGCTGCCTAATCCGTTTCAGATATGATAAAACAATGTATGATGGGACTGTTTCTCTTTTATAGGTCTACAAAAAATTCGCGATGGCATATGTCTTTCCTTTAAGAATGTAACATATTCTTATCTGTACCCATCTAAATCATACTCGACGCAACAAGCTGATGCAGTAAATATAAACATATATGCTTTACTACCATTGCGAAGCCTGGGGGTTGTTAGTTAATAGGAATGAGTAGTATATAGAAAGATCTGTATATTTTAGTTACAATATCTTTATCTTGGCCCAATAACGAATACGTTAGACGTCTGTTATCCTATTATATTTAATCAGAGGGAAACTTTGTATAATAATAGTCGTTTGCTTGGGCACCTCTGTCCCATTCGTGTTTCTATCGTGATGCAGTTGTGTTTGCATGGCTGTGTTTCGGTTTGAAGACTGAGATATGGTAGTGAATTTACAGGGTATAGACGAATAATACCTGATATCGTCAGGAATGGCAACGGGGGGGGGGGGGGGGTCATGTGCGAAACAGTATACTCTGTTATGTCCATGGTACTGCTCATGTCTATAGGCGACGGTTACTACTTTCCATTAGGTGGGCCGTCAGCTTATTTGCCATTCTAAGTTGTATAAAAATTTTTTTTTTCTCTAAACTATAAAATGAGAATCCTATTTTTACACGGCATATGCAGCCATGTACTTGTTTTTGTCTCTACTATGTCTGTCCGTCTGTATGTTTGTTTTGGTATCACACAAAAACTATTACATCAAATTAAACCTGATTGCTAGTCACTGTCAGTTACGTTCCTGAAGGTCTGACTTAAAGTTTGGTATATATTTAATCTTGATACGTCACATAGAAATTGTCTGTTCATCGGTTTTTCTACTTCGGAAATCTATGCGTACGAAGTATAAGTATCAGGCGGAAAAGTAATACTCAATATAAATACTATGTTTTTTCAGTAAATTTTTCAAAAAGAAAAGAAACATAATTCGTATACTTTTTAAAGACAATAATTATTAAGATTGTTTTCCACAAAATAAAAAAAAAAAAACTAATTAAAATTGTGGAAAAACTAGTTTATTTCACTTTCAACTAAATTAATCAACCTATTTGAATATAATTTATATAGAACTTAATCTATAAGTATTTCCTGTTAGG